GAATATTCATCGGAAGGACTGATGCTAAAGCTGAAGGAAGCTCCAATACTTTGGCCACCTGATATGAAGAACTGACTCATTGGAAAAGACCCTGATGCTCGGAAAGATTGAAGGCATGAGGAGAAGGGGAAAACAGAGGATGAGATGGTTGCATGGCATCACCAACTTAATGGACACGAGTTTGTGCAAGTTCTGGGAGTTGGTGATGGATAGGGAAGCCTGGCGTGCTACAGTCCATGGGGTCACAAAGAGTCCGACATTACTGAACGACTGAACTGACCGCTCTATTCCTAGAAGCATATTTTGGTTTCAGTTGTTTTAACTCTATCAATAAAGATGTCATGCTATAGGCAGTATTTTTGGGACCTACTTTTTCACATATTTCTCCAATTTATTTAACTTATTTAGGAAGAGGTTCACTATTACTCATCTTTTTTGTCTGCTGCCCAATATTCCATTTGGGCACTAACTGCAGAACTATTTACTCATCCACTCTCTCACCAATGGCCTGTATTTCCAGAATTTTGCTGTTGTTTGCAGTGTGACTCTGAAGATTCTCGCTCATGTACAAGATCCTCTCTTGGATATTACACATATACTATATTATGTGCCTGGGTCAAAGGGTAGGCAACTACTTGGCTCAGAAGGTGACGACAAACCATTTTCTGATGTAGTCATGCCAATCTACTTCCCCAAGCCACATATAAGATACCCTGTGGACCCACATCTCTTCCAGCACTTGGGATTGTCAGTCTTGTTAACATTTGTCCCTGGTTATCAGGCTAGAACCAGCTAGAGGCATCAGCATTTATGAACTGGTGCACTCTAAGTTAATCAGTGTTTTGAAATAAGGAAATACATTTGACTATAAAAATAACTTTCACTATAGAAAATTCAGAAATATAGAAAAGCACCAAAGAAAAAAATAGTAGCAGCTATAGTATATCAAGATTTCATATTCATTTGCAGTAATGAAGGAATATTTACCCTATTACAAGGGCAGTCTACAACTGCAATTTATTTAAAGACCCTGGGGAAGACCAGACCAGATCTACCACTGAACATGGCCCTGCTAGTATTCTAACCTGTCAGCTTAGCACCCCCAAAGTGCCACTGCACTGTCTCATGTGCCCAGGAAGCAGCAAGGCTCTAGCTAAATATCAGAATTAAAAGCTGAAGATGTGCTTTGAAATTCATAACATCTCCCTTATGGGAGGTTCATGTTCTGTACAGTGGTTTCAATCTATGCCTCTTTTGATCTGGGAGGAAGGGACTGGAAGTTCTTATTAAACACTTAATAAAAGCAGTTCTTTTATTTTAAATCCATTTTCAGAAACTCCTTTGTAGCAATGTACTTCCTTTCAGCAGCAAGATGCCATTAAGGAGAGCAAAATTGGTCTGCAGAATAACAAGGATATCATGGCCAGACTGTGGGTAATTGAATGAAGGTGTTTCCCTAGGTGCGGAGACTCAATTTCTAGGGGCACACTGTGTACTTTACATCCACTGGAAAAAGGGAATCAGTGAGCCAGTCCAGCATGAGCAGAGAGTCTGCTCACAGCACACCTTCTGGTGACTAAACTTCAAATTCACTGACGTCCCGCTCTGGGCCAGGCACTGTGTTAGACAGTGAGAATTCAGAGAGAACACTGCACCTGCTCTCCAGGCATCGCCATCTGCTTGGGAAGACACAACCCAGGTGACTGTGGAACAAGGAAGAATGAAATAAGTGCTATTGTTAACGACCATGGAGAATGCTGCAGAGACCTGAGTTAGACTTACAAGGACTGGATGTTCCTGATGGAAACAGCACAAGCTTTAAACAGGGCTCTAAAGGGAGATTAGACTACCTACAGGAAAAGTAGAAGGACAAACTTTTTGGCCAATCAAATATTTCTAGAACAACTAAATCAATTTATATTCCTAGGGTATGAGACTGTCTACTGTACTCACACTTTAAAAATATTTACTCATTTTATAAATGAGAAATAATTTATCTGTCACTTGAAATCTTTTCTTGAAACTGTGAGGCAAAAACCAGTCTCACAAAAACTCCATTTTAGTAAATTCAAACCATGCCAACAAAGCATTTAATTTTAATATCATAATTAAGAACCTGAGTTTGAGGTCACAAAAGATGAACAAATTTCTAATAAGACTAGTTCAAAGCAACAGGAAAGACCCTCACTTCTGGATGTTCAAACTGGGATCGAAGCTACTGAGGGCAGCCCCCCAGATTGACGCTGAGTATCAAGCCAGACAACATCCTAGAGACCCCTGAGGATGCACCCTGATGAGTGAGCTTTCTGTCCTGGGCAGAGAGAAAAAGGTTAATGTGGGGAACAGAAGCAAGTTACAGTGCTTTCCTCTCTCCCTGCCATTGACGAAGGGCTGAACTATAACCCCAAAGTCATCCTTCTAAATCAAAAGGCACCAGGAAACAAACTCAGTCACCCTCCAGTTTCTTGTAAAAGAACTGCTCAGGCACAAGCGTTTGGAGTTAAACGATGGTGTCCAACAAGGGGGTGCTGGGAAGTCAAAGGGTTAACCCTCTCCTTCTCAGGATGAATTTCAACCTAGGTCCAAGAAAACTGAGATCAAGAGAAGGCTGTGCGTTCACACAGGCTGAGTCCTCTCAGTGTCTGGTGTGGACGGCGATGTCCTGGCTGCGGCAAGGGCGGCGCACACAGAAACCACCTCTGCACGCGCAGGGGTTCAGATGGCAGGTGCTGCACACCTGGGTCCCTTCATGATCTCATCTCAGTTCAAGCTCTGGAGTGTGGACCTACAAGCTTGAAAACCTCATGTTATGAATGTGCTCAAAGAATCTTGGCCTCATGGAGCTCACTTCCACCAACCAAGGTCATAGAGTTATACAAATCAGAATGCCAGTTTGTTATGTACACTTTATATCTGCAAGTAGATGTCATGAGAAACCAAATGGTAATCAGAAAGTGTGACAAGAAAACCATCAGGGAGGCAGGACCACCTGAGAGGTCTCTCCACTGAGGGTCACTGGAGACCCTGTGCATCCTGCCTGTGGCGGCCTTCATCTAATTTATTTCTCGTCATCCTTCTGCGCTCAGCTCAAACACACCTTCCTCAAGACCCCCCTGCAGCTCCCAGGGTGGGTTTCCCCACTGCTTACACATTTTCACTACCCCCTGCAATTTCAAGTACTTACAGCAATTTTCATTAAAGGACCATATCTGCTCTATTTTTTTTTTTCATTTGCCTCAGAGCAGGAGCTATGCCTGCCACCTTGACCACTCTGCCTGATCTCCAGTGGATGCAGCACGTAGTAGGCACTCAAATAAGTGTGGAAGGGTGGGGAGGAGGAGCGCATGATGACTGCCTGTCCGCTATGACGAGAACAGCCTTCCGACGGGACCTAGAGTCCTTTTGACAAGATTCTCTCTCCCTTTGCACAAGATTAGAAATGGGCGCGGCTGAAGTCTGCCCTACTAATGGTCCCTTTTCTGTATTTTTACTGCTGACCAACCCTTCGCTTCTCACACTTCCTTTGGATATGCAATACCTTTGACCGGGTTACAGGTTAATCAGACTGGTCTAAGCACCTTTCTGTCTGCTGAAACAGCTCTGGGTACCCCTGACCTAATCTATTTTACGGTCATTTATAGTTGAATCTGGGGAGTAGCCTTACATCCAAGTTCGAGGGGTTCCCACTCTGCGAAGCCCCTGTGGTCGCCAACCCATGTGCCAGCGTTAAGGACAGGGATGCTCCAGGATGCAGGGCAGCCGGGGGAGAAACCAAGCGACAGTGTGCGTATGTGGCTGACGCCTGCTTGTGCTTCCCACACACAGAAGCTAGAGATGACATTTTTACATGCTTCGACTATTGTCTCAAGTATGATATTAATTTTAATAATTAAAAACAGAACCAATACTGGCCCGGGAGTGTGGCTGAGATCGAGATTGTTTTGATCCTAGCCCTGACACTAACTCACTGTCAGCAAGTCCCATTCTGTGCTGGCTTCCGTCAAATAATGAGTTGGCCTTGATGGCCACCAGGGCCCTTTCCGGCCTTGACAGTTCATTTTCCAATGGTTATTTTTTGTCTAAGAGCTCATCTCAGACCTGATAAATACTCAAAGATCAATCCAGCTGCTGGCAATGACTACCATACCTCGGGAGTCTGACTTAAGCACCTATCTCTAAAGAAATCACTGCCACATCTTAAGATTTTCATGATTACAAATAAAATCATTCAAGAGGAAAGCAGATGTCCCAGGGACCTGACACCAACTCACACAGCAGATTCTCTGACACAGATCTTCTCAGCATTTGTTAATCACAGGACGGAGGACTGAGACGTCTGGGAAATCTGGCTATGACGCAGCTCTCAGGGACTCTCTTCCTTCCATCCTCCCAGACACAGGGTCCTTATGGAAATTACTTTCCATATATAAAATATATATTTTTTATATATACATATATTTCTATATATAAAATAGTCAATTATGATTAAACATTTCCATGAGTATATAACTTCTACAATATTTGCAAAAAACAGCACTTTTCTTCCCTATCCTTGATATTGGAAGTTCAACTTCCTTCACCTCAGCCTCCCAATGCACAGATCCTGTCACTGGTGATAAATTCTCAAACAGGCGTTCAATTGTAGTACAAACTCATTATGAATCTGTTTATAACCAAAGAAGCATCTCAATTTTAATTAGCTAATATGTTAAATTCAAAGTCATGTTTATGTTTAAACATTCTACAAACCCATCTTAGAAAATGGGCATGTCTGATGAGGCCCTTCCCTGTCTAAAAGGAAATTACTGAAAAGAATAAGACAATCTGCTAAGGGGTTTGTGCTCCAGAGACACATGTTTGCTTCTGCTACAGCAACTGTGAAGAGACCGAGCACAAGTGTGTGGATTTCAAAAGATTTCCCCAAGTAAGATGTTTGTAAAGGAAGAGACAAACGGAAACCCCCATACCTGAAGGCAGGCCCAGGAGCGCTGCCTCCTTACCTCGAGTAGCAGGAGTCCACGCCCAGGGCCTCCCGCACGCTGGCAACATGCTGCTCCAGGGCTGAGCTCGCGGCTGATGGAAGGGCTGTGCTGCTGCCCGTCTGGAAGTCACTGGAGTTTTCTACCGTGGTGTCTCCCAGGTATTGTTCATGAAACTTCAGAATTCCTGAAATAAGACAAGCACAACCAACATTACATCTGACCAGGGTATAAGGGGAAGGGAAGGTGGAGGGCAAGGGGCAACAAGGTCAAAGCTACGTGACCAAGAGGTCAAAGAAGACAAGTGTGCTGTCCTCCAAACCATGGGAAGAAATCCTAAAATCCTGGGTCTTTCAGAATTCTAATCAGTATCATTTTTATAATTTTCACTATCAGGTTTGGTGCATGAAAACAAGGAATTGAAGACAGGACTTTTGCTTTTGATGATATATATTCAGAAGCTCCAGAACTGATGGCTAGTTCACATATTTTAAAACAGATGCATCTCAGAAGCAGCAACCAGGGAAAGTTCCCTTTGAAGAATGGTGCAGGAGCATGCCAAAGGTATATTCTCCCCAGAAGCTGAACTCCTGACAAAAACTGTAGCTAGCCAAATATAGACCTTTCCTTTCACAAAAGCAAAGCAAAATAAATACACAGCATTAAGGCCAGATAAAAACATTTTAAACCATCTTTAAATAAGACCAACTGGTCAATGGTCATTAATGGATTAAAGGAGCAAAAAATGATGGTTGTATGAAACCGAGGCAGTCTGCAGTGGTTTTCTGGCAATAAACACAGGACATATTCTCAAATGGTAATGAGGTGTGTCAGCCCTAGAAAATGCTGGTCCTCTCTGATTGGATTAAAGCCCCAGTGAAAGCTTCAGAGTCTAATTAAGAGCAAAGAGAAACGGAAAGAGAAACAATAGGCGCCTCATTATACATGACTCGTTATTACAGGGATTTGGATATGCCACCTGTCAAATCATGTCCCCAAAACATAACCACCACGGAGAGAGAGAACGTGCTCGATGCCTCCATCATCAGTTGAGCATCCTCCTGAGCATCAGGGCCCGCCGGGGGCTGGGATACAGAGATTCATCCCACTGTGTCTGACACTCACCAAGCCACCACAGACATCACAACTCAAAACCGTTAGCATATAAAGGTGGGAGGCAAGAATGTTCTTTATGGGAAGCCTATGGAAACGTGGGATTAAGGGGAAAATTACAAAGAGTAATCCTGCTGAGACATGGAATGTATAGGCATTCTCAGAATGTAATCAGAACCCAAGAAGTACCTCAGAGCTGTCATCCAGCAATCATTTTTTAAATTAAAGGGACAGAAAGGTAATCAAGAAAAGCTTGTCAGTTCTCCTTGGCAGTTGAACTTTTTGAAATTGGCTTACAGATATCCAAGAAGCCCATTCTTCAAGATTCCCAATTATAAGATCCACTTCCCCAGTCAATAAACTCTAATTGGATCTGGTCTGTCTCCAACATGGTAAAACCATCAGCATTTTATTATGCAAAAAATATGCCCCTAACAGCTAATTAGTGGTTCTGTACTTAGTGAAGCTGTTAAAGTCTGAACATTTAATCCTGATTTAATCAAAGGGGATTTTTATTTTTGAAACAGATTAACAAATGAACTGGTTAAAACTTGGTTTTGCTAAACTCAGAAATTTCAAGCATGAGACTTCATTGATACACCGTGATAAGAGTTGCCATCACCATTTCAGTCTCTTTAACTGGACCACAACAAATTATTAAATTTAAATTTAATATTATTAAATATTATATAAAATATTATTAAGTTTAATTATTATTAAATTATTAAATCATATAGAGAAAGAACTCGTTAGGACTTAACAGTTATCGCTTTATTAGCGAGTGAACAACAGTTGCCTAAAAATAGGGCTGCTGGTGACATTAATCCTCCTGTTCTTAGTCTTCCTTGATAAATGCTTCCACATTGACCAGCGAGGAGCTGTGATTTCTTGGGGGAATGAAAAAGCTGGGCTGTCTTATTAATTGAATGCCCCAGCACCAGCTACCCACTGAGGCTGAGGCTTCACTGAAAGCCAACATTAGCTCCTGGATCTGATCTATGGTAGTGCACGTACCTCTCCCACCTCTGCACATTAGACTCTCACGGTCCGCTGTCCTAACTGCCCTGTTCCCAAGGAAAGAGATCTTACCTGCCCCAGGAGCCAGCAGCCAGCTGTAGAGGTAGCCCGCCGCCAGGGAGTAGTAAAGCACTAGTCCCCTCTGGCCGTTAACCATCTCCAAGATCTGATCGACAGTGACCGGGGAGTAGGGGTCAGAGTCCTGCTGTCCTGTCTGTCGTTCTACCAGGAGGTCTGCAAACGCCCTTGTCCGTCCTCTTTCTGCCACGGCCAGAGCTTCATCATGATGGCCTAGGAGACAAAGGGATAGGCTGGGAGTCCACAGGGAGTGTGTTTATCAGAGAGGGCCTCCAGGTCCAGAGACCCCAGGCAGGCAGAAACCCCATGGCCTCTGCATGCCAACACGTGGCAGACTCTCAGTCAGACTGCCTCAGAGGCTGCATGCAGTGACCACGCTTCTCAAAACCCCCGGGTTCAGACCCCACACTCCTGAAAGCTGCTGGGCTTCCCTGTCTGGCAGCTACCTCAGGAGAGCTGCTGACAGCATCCATCCTAGCCTTGCCTACTCTCCCTCCTCAACCTGAGCTGCTCCAGGCCTTCTGGCTTCTGACCCCATCCCCTTGGCTCACTGGACCTGATGTTCTGCTCTCTGGTTACCCTCTCACTTTCCTGCTCAGCTTGGTTCTGATTTGGTCGCGACAGCTGATCCCTCCAGGACATGGCTTCTGACCATCTTTCTATTTCTCCTTGATGCAGCTCCTCCGTGCATCACATTGACCAGCCCCGTTTCCACATTTCACACCAAATTATATCTCTGTGTCCTTACACATGCTGGTCCATCTGCTGGAGTGCCTTTTCCTCCGTCACTTGAAACAAGGACTCTTGACAGCTGTCCTGCCTATCTCAACAACTAAATGAGGCCCTACACATGGAGACGCCTGGTAGGCAGCATTCAAAGCACAGTGCATATATAAGTGACATTATAATCGCTGGAGTTTATACCTTATTCCATTCTGGGGTCCCATAAACTTGCTTCTTGTCTCTTCTAGTTCCCACGGGCAAAGGGTTCAAACCTCCGAGGTCTCTAATTCTTTGAAATTGCTTTTCTCTTTCCAGTTTTTCCTCAGTCTTTTGATCCAACCTCTAAACCCACTTTGTCTAAGAAACTAGTCTGTAATGTAGTTTAAAAGCTAATGCACAATAATGAGAGCACAAAAGATACAGCAACATCCTTTCAAATGAAGATTGTTAGAAGAAATACAATGCAGAGGATTTACTTGCAGTCGTAAATGTACACACAGAAGAGCTGCTAGAACGAAGGTCCAAAGAGAGAGTGGGCAGAGGCAGGAGACCAGATGCCTCAACTCCAACAGCACTGGGAGGATGTCCCACTTCCTGCAGCCCATGTATCAGCAGATAAGCGGGGATTTACAAGTGTGTATGCAAATGTCTCCGCTTACTCTATTAAGTTATTAACTGGAACAGCAGGGACGATTTCTGTACACAATGGAAAACTGGCCCCAAAGTGCTAGACAGACTTAACACTGTGATTATAACAGATAATAGATTGTAATCCCAGGCAATGAGCACAGTTAATAGACACACTTTTTAAGGGGAAGTTTGAGCCTTCATATATATATATATAAAGCTAAGGATAGGTTACTGGTGAGGCCTTAACAACCAACTTCAAAGACATTGTTAATTCCAGTGGACACCTGCTTAACCCAACTTCTGGGCTGCAGGAAATGGTCTGCAGAGATGGGCAGGCCTGAGGAGAGGCAGAGCTGGAATCAGGTGGCTGCCACAGTTAAGCCAGGTAAGGGGAGGGGGTGCTGCCCCAATGCAACGTGGCACCCCAGCCCGGGAGAGTTGTCACTGACAGTGTCATGGCCACAGGGCAGACAGTACACATATTTACTAGACAGCAGCATTAAAGGATGTGTGGCACCAGCCCAGGTTGGATGCATGAGACAAGTGCTCAGGCCTGGTGCACTGGGAAGACCCAGAGGGATGGGGTGGAGAGGGAGGTGGGAGGGGGGACCGGGATGGGGAATACATGTAAATCCATGGCTAATTCATTTCAATGTATGACAAAAACCACTGCAATGTTGTAAAGTAATTAGCCTCCAANAAAAAAAAAAAAAAAAAAAGGATGTGTGGCAGTGAACCAGGGAAGAGGCCAGTGACTTCTCAGGCGCCTGCCCCCACAGACCAATGGGCAGAGGGAACCTGGTGGGAGCACCTGCTTCAGGCACCCTGTCTCCAGGACACCTCCTCTGGCTCCTGGGTCTGCCTGCCAAGCCTCTTTGTTTCCACTACCAAATCACACCCTACTGGACCCCCAACTGTCATCTGCTGATGAACTAAGAGCTTCCAGAGGTCAGGAGCTGGGCCCTCTTGACCAGCACGTGGCACAACATTTGTGGGATGTACGAATAAATTTTCAAAGGCAAGGCTGTGGTTGTGGCTTCAGTTCTGCCATGATGACAAGTTGTATTTCATCACGGCGCTCACTAAAGGACTCAGACACAGGTGCACACTCAAGGCAGAAACCCCACCGCTGGCTCTCACCGAGGCTGACGAGCACTCGCTGCAAGGCCTGGTAGGAGGACGTCTGCAGGTCAAAGAGGGAGAGCTTGTAGTCCGTGCTCAGCTGCGCTTCGTGTCGGATTGTCTCAAACAAGGCTGATGCCCGGTAGAGCTGCAGGGAGGGAAGAGAACATTATCCATCTTCCAGAAGCTACGGGACAGCCGTTCCCTGACTAGAGACCACTGCTGCTCACATCTTGGTATACCATGGAAAAGCTGTTTTCAGAGTCTCCATTTCTAGACCTGAAAAGGCATCAGTTTGATCATACTTGGTAAATTACAGTTTGTGTAATCAATTTTTGACAGACAAGGGGATCTAAAAGACAGGGGTAATAGACTCATAGTCTGAAAGTTGTGAAAAAAGATCAGCTATTAATGCAATCAAGTCCTGATTTTGATTAAAACAAAACGAAAAGCCTCTGCTCTTGTCATCAAGCCACTGTAATTCACCACCCCACGCCTCGAAGTGCAGCAGGGCTGGGATGGGAGCGGGTGGGGGCAGGCTGGAGACGCCTGAGGCAGGGGGCGCGGGGGCGGGGAGAGGGTGAGCTGTGAAGACAGCTGTGCTCTCAGGAGGAGGAGGGGGCTTTGTGCAGGCTGTTCTGAACCAGATGTTGCTCCGCACAGCCGTGCTCCAAGAACCGTGTCCAAGCACATGGACGCCCTGACACCAGACACGCAACGCTCCTAAGGAGACACTGTCCTGCTGCTCTCATGGCTTTTCTCCGTAACCCATAGGTCCCTTTCCTCCGGGACCATGAGGCTTTTCTCCGATACCTATAGGTGGAAACAGTATCAAAATTTAAATTCATGCAAATGTAAAGAACAGCATTCTAAGACTAAGGGACTGAGACCAGGAGAGAGGAACGTACTCCCTCGTGACCCTGCCAAGAATTTGCTGGGGGACTTTCAGCAAGACTCGGAGCCTCAGCTTCTTATCTATAAAGGGATGGCTATCACTCTAGCTCACAGGGTCATTGAGGAATACACTCATTCAGTGAAAGTACTTTGAAAACTATAAATCACTATATCAATAAAAACTTTAATATCTGAAACCAGAAAACCAGAGGATTAATTCTTTAAATTGTAAAATGCCATAACATCCCAGGATGCTATGGCACAAGTTCAGGCACATCATGTCCTCAATCCCAGCAGCACCTCGGACGGGAGCCTGGATTCACCAATCCTGGGCCCCTTTGCTAGCACAGTGCCCTCCATGCTAAGAGCTGCCTCAGTGGCTAAGCACTATAATTAGAAACCTACAAAGACAGTAAATCCAATAATTACAAATTCTTGGATTACTTCTGTCAAAAAATGTATGTAATGTCATATTAAGGTTTTATGAGGAACAGCAGCACATAATACAAGAATTCCAAAGAAATTATTGAGAAATCTATCATACAAGTGAACAAGTCTTTACTATGGTTCAACGTGCTGGCCTGATACAGGCTGGATATCTTGTGAGTCAACCCAAGAGCACAAGTCAACACCTTCTGATAAATGTCATCACTGTTATGATAGTAATCTCAAGATCGTCCATGCTTCTAGAAACAAAATCTACTCAGAAAAGGGTTCTCCTGCTCACCTGATGTTGGGCCTCCTCCAGATTCCCGCTCGCCCAGAGGGAGAGGCCAAGACCATGGCGAATTTTGGCTTCATCTTCTCTTCGGCCCAGCTGCTCTGCTAACCTTAAACCTGAATTCAGAGAGAGAAATTTTGAGGATGTATAGAAGACAGACAATTCCACCCTGCCAAGGAGTTCTAGAGGGTAATTCTGCCTCAGGTGGATATAAAGATTGTCAGCAACACAGCGAGATAAAATGCAGGACACGAGCAGACTCAGCCAAGGCAGAGTAAGCATTCTTTTCAAATTCTGTGTTAGCAGCAGCCTTTCCAGGTCACTCCAAGATGCCCCAGCAAGAGCTCAGGCGATGGCTATCAGCAGGAGACAGGCATGCAGGGCAGGAAGAAACACGGAAGCAAATAGAACCCAACTGGCTGCTGTCCCCACTGTGAAATCCCTAGCTTTGCGAATGAAAACTCCAGGCCTATAAATGTATCGAACCCAATTCTCTGGCTGGCAGTAGTGTTTCTGACAGTTCCACAATCAAGTACAGAAGCCCAGCTCAGATCTCTCCTATCACCTGTGCACAGCATCCAACCAGCATCGACGGGAGACACATCAGATGTCCTGGAAGCAGAATGCTCGCACCGCCTGACCCTGCCTTCTGTTACTGATGCCACTGACACATTCCACATCTGATCTGCTTTTCCTTTAAGGCTGAGACTTTGATGTGCCTCAGTGGGGATGCAGAACAAGTGCTTTTGTGAGTCAAAAGCTTTAGATGAGACTATCCTCATTCTACTGGCCTTCGGATAGGCACCGGCAGTTTGGGTCACTTACTCACAGCAAGCTTCTGGATTTCAGGACACTGACAATCTCCAGGGCTTTGAGCAAGCCAAACCTGAAGGCAACCTTTTATTGTGTGGGTCACTAAGCAGTTCTCAGCATCACTCTGCCCTCGTTACCTTACTCTCTGTACTGAGAAGTCAGCTTGTGCCGAGACGGCAGGAAGGCCCCATGCTACAACTGTACACACCGAGGAAGGACTTCCTCTTTATAATCTAATTCAGGGTGAATGGGAACCTGCCTCTGGGCATGCTGGGCCCACTCAGTTTCAGACTTCTGGAAAAGAATCGAGTCAGTTGAGAAGCTAATAAAAGTGAGACTCGGGTTCAAGTTCCATAAAATATCATGTATCTCAAAATGCACATAACTCAAAAGACTTAGCAATAGCATTTTACATTTAAATCATGTCACTGGGTAATAAAAACAATATGTACTTGAAAATTATTCACATTTTAAAATACTTCATAGAGTAGGAACAGAAATAGAAGAAATGGTTCTTGGGTGAAAACCAGGAGGAGGCTGGTTGTTTTAACCTTCAACCAGCTTACTCTATTCACTCTTCAGGATTGCTCTCCTTGCTAGGCCTGGGCCTCCACGCTGGAAGTTCACTGTGGCAGCCCCTCCAGAAGGTATGTTCTGTGCAAGCAGCGACTTGACCATGCTCCCTGCTGGATCCCACAGTGGGGATCCTCGCTGGCCCGATGGTCAGAAGTTCAACAGTGAAGAGCAAACATGGTAGACACGACATCTGTGCTGTCCCAGTTTCCACCTGCTTCTGCTCTGAGGATCTGGCCCAGCCATCTGGCTCTCCTGGAGCCGAGTTGGCTCTAGCTCCCTTGCTTTATTTGCAAAAAGAGAAAAAACTGGATGAGACCAGTGGTTTCAATCAAGGGTAACTATACGACCCACAGAGCTTGTTCAAAGGACTCTGACCAGGCCCACCTATGAGATTCTATTACATATGGGCGGTGTGATGCTAGTGCACAGCCCCTTCTGAAAGTCAGGAAAGAGAACTAAAGTGGTTTCCAACTGAGCTGTTCCCTCTCTGCAAGAGGCTGAAGACCCAACTCAGAGCACTCAGTAAGTGCCCAATAAGGGTCCTGCACCTATAATAACTCATGTGAAGAGGCGTCTGGATGGGCCCAAGGGGAACATCAGGCTCTGGGGTAGACCACATCCACTAAAAAGACACTGTGGAGACGCCACAGTAAGAATTTAGATCTCTGCAAGACTTAAAATTACAACAATAAAAAAAAAACAGCCTTCCATAAATATAGAATTATGTTACAATATCTCAGGCAAAGCAGCTGCTTCATGGAAATAATATTTCAGAAAAAACCAAAGAACACAGCTGAAAGGTTGTCATACGCTAGGTCTGAATTTAATAGTTTTCACATATTCAACTGAAAACTGCCCCTAGTCTGTTAGAATTTTACCACAGTCTAGTTTCAGGAAACCAAAAGCCAACTCTCATATTTCATGCATTGAGGCAGAGCTCCCATTGAGTGGGAGTCAAATAATGTCTGGGGAGTGGCTTACAGCCTCCCAGTAACCTCTCAGCCTGCAGGCCAGGGCAAGACCTGGTCTGTGCAGAGGACCACCCTGACCATCAGCCGCTGGCCCGTTCTCCACTCTGTGTGCTGTCTCTCTCTCCCGGCTCTCAGCTGGGGCTCAGGAGTGATCATGGACACGACTGTGCTAGCCTGGCTCTGTTCTAGGGGGCTGCATGGAGTCTTGTGCTATTCCTGGGATCAAGAAACCTGGGCTGAGCCCCATGCCACCACTGACTGACCACGAGGTCAGGATCAAGCCACTGCACTCTGAGCCTCAGGTCACTTAGCTGCCAATGGAAATGAAAAGATACACCTCTCAGGGTTACTAAGAGAATTAAATCCAATTAGATAAACTATGTATGGGAAGTTTTCTGGAAACCACACATGAGCATTTTTGCTGGAAATCAGTACCCCTTTCCTTTTACTCAAGAGCCAAGAACACTGTGTCTGCTGTGCCCCCTCCCAGGTGGTAACACACCATGGCCCTATGAGAAGAAGTGCTTTCCAGGAGGGTTTCCGGAGTGGAGGGCAAACACACTGCCGCAAGGCTTCTGCATGGTGAGGGAGGAAGCACCGCAGGCTCACCTGTGTGCAGGTAGCCACATGGAGCCTCTGCCAGAGAGGGAACAGAGCCAGGGGAAGTGAGGGAAGCAGGCACTTTCCGGGCCAGCCTGAAGCAACCGCACTGTGGCTGCTGCCCAGCCCCAGGGGTAACCAGTGCTGGGAAACCTGGCTGATGGCTTGAGCGACCCTCAGATGGATGCTACTGGATTAGACCCTGGTACCACCTTGAAATGGAATTCTACACAGTGCTGACATAGCTCAGGCACTGTCTAGCAGACAACGGGCTCAGAACCACTGCGCATCTCCTGATGTAGAGCATTAACCTGTACGTGCTTAGATCTAACTTCATCTTGTGGAGAAGGTGTTTTTCATTCAGTGGAGGGTTCTGAAAGGTAAGGAGGGTGTCAGCCCTCTGGACAGCTGGCTAGCATAGTGAGACAAGCTGGGTGATGCATCCAGGAGAGCGGAAAGAACTGTGAACTCTTAAGGAGCACCCACGAGAGGACACCATGATTTTGGAGTTGAATTGATGACGTAGCCTCTGAATCCTCACTCCAGGTCAAGATGGTCACTCACATGAGTGCACTTCCTCCTGGGCAGACTGTGAGCTCAGTCTCAGAGTAGACCGAGAAGCTGCACAGACCTTTCCACTTACCTTCCTGCAAGTACATGACTGCCTGGGAGTAGTTCTGCAGAGCGTGATGCGTCCTTCCGAGGCTGCTGTAAGACGCCGTCTTGGCCACCAAGTCGTTCATCTGTGCAGCGATGCTCAAGTGCTGCTCCTGGTAGACCACAGCTCTCTCAAAGGTGCCCAGGGACTCGTAGGTCAGGCCCAGATTCCCGTAGGCCCGGCCCTGGCACGTGGGGTTGTTGGTCTCCTCGGCAATCTGCAGATCCAGCTGGTGGTACTGCAGGGCTGTATCGTACTCCCCCATCTGCTGGTACACACCCCCCAGGCCACAGGCCGCGTCACTCTCCAGAGCTCGGTCCTTCATCTCTCTAGCAATGTTCAGCTGGCGTTCAAGGCAGGAAATGGCTTGTTCATAATTCCCTAATTGGCTGTGCAGACTTCCCAGCTCACCGTAGGCCTGGGCTTTATTAAAGGCCTCCCCGAGCTCGTGGGCGACCACGAGCCTCTTTTCAAAGCACACCAGGGCCTGCTGCAAGCTCCCCATTGCCCTGTGGGGATGTAGACAGAAAAGCAATGATATTATTTTGTGCAGGTGCAGACATGCTAAAGCCCCTGAGAAAATGAAAAGCATTTGTCACTGTCACTTACTATAGAAGCTCTTAACTCCTCTTCTAGCTAAAATCTATCATGTGCCCTTAGAGTGAGATGCACGGGAATTTCATAATCTGGAAAGCAATTCAAGAGTCATCCCTTAGTGACCTTCCCAAGAGCCTGAGATTCAGTGGGATATACACCCCAGAGGAAACATAAAATATATTAATAGGCACAATGATAGCAAGTGAACTGTTTGGTTCTTTGGGCCTCCCAATTTCCACTACCGCACAGACTATGTTTTTGAAATCACTTTACAATGGCGATAAATCTTTCACCCTGAGCTTCTCGGAGCACTCTGTGGGTGATGATTTAGTCTGACCCTTGCCCTTCCTCCTCTCCAGGAGCTCTAATCCCCTGCCTGTCTGGAGAGGCCATATATTCTGCAGACGCAGACACCTTCTTGGATTCCCCACACCCAGGAGGGAAGCAGCGCCTTGCTCAACAGTGTGTCCTGTTGTGCTGCTAAGAGATGACACGGTAAGAGGGAGAAGGGCGTGGACTCCGGCAGCAGACCAAACCAGTTGTGTAGGACACACGGATTCCCTTCCCTGAGCTTCAGTTTCTGAACGCTGATAAATCCCACATCCCGTAGCCAATGATGATAAATGTAGACTAATACACAACTACAATAAATATTAAACAAGATATCTACACAAAGTGCCTAGCATGATGATAGTATATGCTCGTTCACTCCCCATCTTTTGAGGTGGCTTTCCCTAAAAGCAACAATATGGGGTCCAAGTAACCGGTGGGTAGAGACGTTATATTAATGAACACATTCATATAATGTGAGGGGCAATCAGAAAAGATAAACTAGATCAATTCATTCATCTTTCACCTTCCTGTTTTCTCTTTTAGTCTGCTCATTATGATGTAGTCAAAAAGGCACTGCATTTGGAGTCAGAGAGTCCTGCATTAAACTCTCAGCTGTCCCTTTTAAGCTGTGTAATCAACTCTGGGCCTTAGTTTCTTCCTCTGTGACACAAGGGTAGAAACACCCCTGCTACACTCACAGAATCACTGGAGGAAGCAAATGAGCAGTGTATGGAGCTGCTCTGTGGTCAGGGCGCTGCCAAGTGGACACAACAGCTGCCCCTGGTGCAGGTTAACTAACCACACTTGTCCTCTGTTGTTTTTACCTGTGTCCACTTCCCAGGCCTCGGTAAGCCTTGGCTTGGTCTTGCATGCGATTCAGACTCTGGGCAACAGATAAGTACTGTTCATAGTACTTGATAGCTTCCTCGTAGTCGCCCAGGGCCTCGTAGCAATCCCCCAGGTTGCCGTAGGCCCGGCCCCTGTCGAGCACAGACTCGTTCCCACTCAGCTGCTGCAGCATGGCCAGCTGCTGCTCGAAGTAGCCGATGGCTTCTTCCATCACGTTCATGTTCATTTTTGTGATGCCCATGTTGCCGTAGACCTGGGCTTCGAGACTCGGGTCCTTCAGCTTCTGCCCTAGGTCCAGCTGCTCTTCGTAACACTTGAAAGCCATTGTGTACTTCCCCAGGGCCATGTAGACTGCGGCCAGGTGCCCATGAGCTCTGCACTCTCCCAGCAGGTCACTCAGCTCCTGATATACCTCCAGCTCCTGTGTATGATAACCCAGGGCCTTGTCGTGTTTCTGGATCATTCGGTATGCGGTGCCCAGGGCTGCATATGCACTGGCCTCCAGTCTCCTGTCCTTCACGTGGTGAGCCAAGCCCAGCTGCTGCTCATAGAATTTTATTGCACCACTGATATCTTTTTTACAGATAAATATATCACCCAGGTTCCCCAGGGCTCTAAATTTAGCCTGGGAATTATTCAGGGACTGGGCTAGGGACAGTAGGTACTTTTGACACTCTTCAGCTTTGCTGAAATTCAGCAGAGCCTTGAACGCTAAGCCCAAGTTGCAGTAAGCTTTTGCTTGACTCAATTTGTCATGAAGGTCTTTGGCCAGGGCCAGATCCTGCTCATAGTACTTTACTGCCTCCTGGTAATTTCCAAGGCAGTAATGGGCGTAGCCGAGGTTGTGGCAGACCTTTCCTTCTCCCTCCATGTCTTGAAGATCAGGAGCAAGTCGGAGGTACTGTTCGTAATAGGGGGCGGCCTGGACGTACTCCCCTCGAGAGCAGTGGAAGTTGCCCAGGTTGCTGAGAGCCCGCGCCTCGCTCTGGATGTCTCGCAGCTCCCGGGCGATGTTCAAGTGGTTCTGATAGTGCTGCAGGGCCCGGTCGTGGGCGCCCAGGGCCTGGTAGGCCACGGCGAGGTTCCCGTGCGTGGATGCCTGTGAGGCACGGTCGTTCACTTCCATGGAGATCTGTAGCTCCTGCCGGTGGTACTTGACCGCCTGGTCGTACATGCCCAGAGCATTGTAGGCATTGCCCATATTTCCATAGGCGCGGCCCTGGGCAGCATAGTCGCTCAGCTCCTGGGCGATGCACAAGTGGGTCTTGTGGAGTTTCAGTGCAGTGTCATAATCACCTTTCATCTGGTGTATGATTCCTGAGAAAGAGCGCAAAAGAAAAGGGTTGGAATGACTGATTAGCAATAAAATGTAATTTGCAACTCGATTTATACTCCAATACAATCCAGATGAATTAAAGAATTTAAAATAACAGAGGGTAGAATTAAATATTTATCAGCTCTCCAGAGGCGGAATAGCTTTCTAAGCTTCAAAGCAACAGAAAAAAGAAAAAAAAACACACACACACAAAACACTGACAGATTTGGTTACAAAAATAGTAAGTTTTATACTACAAATAGATGCCTAAAATTAAAAGGCAAACACAATACTGGGAAATATATAAATCATATACAAAAAATTCAATAGCTATTGTGTGTAAAGATTTAACTGGGTTTGATTAAAAAAAAAAATCAAGACCTTAATTTACTGAAATAGGCAGACAACTCATATCCAAGGAAATACAAAGAGTAACCATAGGGGAAAATGTTAATTTATTTTAATAATCAAAGAAATGTAAAATAAAGCAACTCTGAAGTATCATTTTACTTCTACTAAATTAGCAAACAAAAAATTTAAACAATACCCTGTACCAGCAAGGTGGCTTTGAAACTAGTAAACCCATCAACTGTTGGACATAAATGGTAACAGTCTCTGGAAGAGTGGTGAGACAGCCTCACTCCCGGTGCTGCGCAGGCCCTGCAGTCCTGCTCAGGGGAGTGTCTTCTAAGGAAATCCTCAGAAGTTCTACATCTGACAGTCTTCACTGCAGGGTTATGGATTAGTGGAAGATCAGAAACATCTTCAATGGCAAACACTGGGGGGTTGTATAAGTACATTTCAGTACATCAACTCAATAGGGGATTACGCAGTCATTAAAAAGATTATTACAAAGACTACGCAGAAAAACAGGGAAAAACAGGTTCTTGCAATAATGTTAAGTGGAAAAAGCAAAGAACAATGCTCCATGCTCCCTTGTAACAATGATGAGGAAAATGAATGTGTACACATGGACAAGACCTCAAGGGGATTATGAAAAGATAAAAACAGTTGCCTTGTTAGGTGATGGGATTTGAATGATTTTTGTTTCAAAATTTCTTCTAATTTTGCTATCCAGCTTTTACAGTCAACAATAATTGCATTTCAAATAGCTCTCATAAACTATGCTATAGCTGCTAAGCCAAGCAGTTGTTTTTACAAGCAGTTCAAAATGAGATATATCATAAATATCATAAATATAAAGCAGTTGCAAATGAGGGATATCATAAAAGGAACTTGGGAAGAGCCTTTAAGGACAGCCTGGTTCATTCCAGTTGGGGCTGGGTGGGAGACACAGAAAAGGCAAAAGGATCTAGTATGCAAACAGGTTTCTCTCTGCCCTTGGTTTTCAATATGCTTTTCTATGTATCAACGTGTGAACTTTGTACTGGTGACCAAAACCTGCAGAAGTATAAAAACTCAAAAACACCAAGATGGGTTCTCACTGAAATGTCTGAATTGAAAACAGAGGCATGGAGAAAACAAGCTATCAAAATCCAGCCTCTGCAATTTGTTTATCTTTCCATCTTTCTTTCCTTCCTTCCTTCATTCACTCACTTACACACTGACCCAGCAAATATTAACTGAACATTTATTGTGTACCAAGCCTTGTGGTGGGCAACACACAGAGAGAGAAATGAAGACACAAGTCTGCCCTCAGAAAGCACACAGGGTCCTAAGGGAGACAGTCATGAAACAAATACTGTCAACATACATAATACAAGCTGAAGTGAGCAGGGCGTGGGGGAGAGAGGGGCATGCCAGGGCCACTCCTTTGGTCCTGACTCTCTGCAGCGGAGGTCTGTCCTGCCCCAGGAGTCGTGCCTGTCTCTGGATCCAGTCATCCGTACGACATTAACTGGATTCAGGACACTGGATAAATCATTTAGCCTCTTTGAGAATTTTTTCAGTTCATCCATAAATTGAGGAAAATGATAGTCTTGATACCAACCTTAGGATAGTAGTGAGGATCAAATGAAATAATGTATGTGCAAGCTCACTGTAAACTATAAAGTGAAATTCAAATATTAGTTACTGAAATTACTATATGCTTCCAGGGAAGGGAACTCTCAAGGTGGTAGAGATTAAACAAACTATGGTAATTCTTCTGTGTATTTCCTTGTACAAGCTAAATATTTCCATTTAAAATAAGCAAATTATGGTACTCTATATGATGGAATAACATGGTACCAATTAAAAATGGTGAAGTAGAAATTTAAATATTGACATGGGAAAAAATAAAATGTATTAAGGGGTTATATGGGCTTCCCCAGCGGCTCAGCAGTAAAGAATCCTCCTGTAATGCAGGAGATGTGGGTTTGATCCCTGGATTGGGAAGATCCCCTGGAGGAGGGCACGGCAACCCACTTGAGTAATCTTGCCTGGAGAACCCCGTGGACAGAAGAGCCTAGCAGGCTACAGTCCACGGGGTCACAAAGAGCAGACACAACTGAAGTGACTGAGCAAAGGGGTTATATGGGCACAAAATAGTATCCTTAATAAAAACGTTAATAGGGTTCAGGCATGCGTGTGTATAGATATATGTTTACACTTATACATATAGTATACATTTTTAAAAATTTTAACAGTAGTAATTTTGGAGTGGTGGAATTTTGCTGTATTTTATTGGATTTTTCTATGATGAATGCATAATCCTTGGTTTAAAAATTAATCAAATATTTTTGAAACTCTGCTCCAATTGGAGCAGATTAGGTCTGGTCACTCCCCTGGATCAGGGATGTCACTGGCGTCCCAGCTAGAAAGAACAGATTTTCAAAGACTGTTTCAAGGTTAGAAACTCTAAGCTGCCCAAAACACATTACCTCAGAATCACCTGAAACCCTTCTAGTGGTGAAAAATTACTAGTGAACCAATACAGTATACTAACGCGTATATATGGAATTTTAAAAGATGGTAACGATAACCCTATATGCAAAACAGAAAAAGAGACACAGATGTACAGAACAGACTTTTGGACTCTGTGGGAGAAGGCGAGGGTGGGATGTTCTGAGAGAATAGCGTTGAAACAAGTATACTATCAGGGGTGAAACAGATCACCAGCCCAGGTTGGATGCATGAGACAAGTGCTCAGGGCTGGTGCACTGGGAAGACCCAGAGGGATGGGATGGGGAAGGAGGCGGGAGGGGGGATCAAGATGGGGAACACACGTAAATCCATGGCTGATTCATGTCAGTGTATGGCAAAAACCACTACAATATTGTAAAGCTAATTAGCCTCCAACAAATAAAAATAAAGGAAAATAAATAAATTTAAAAAAAGGAAAAAAATACTGGAAAAAAAATTTTTTTTTAAATTACTAATGACAGAAACATTTTAGTTCTGAAGGCCTGAATATGGCCTGGATCCCTAACCTGCTTTTACCTAAAGAGGAAACTTGTAAGGTTTCAACTTTCCAGGTATCCTTAGCGGAAATGCACCATTTACTCCCTCTCTCCTCAGCTTTGCATGAGGAGAAATAAGCGGCAGGATGCCTGCCCTGCTGTGAGTGCGGAGCTGGGGAGGGTGGTGGAGTGTCCTCTTAACCTTCTCAGACTTCCCCTCACAGTGATGCCTTTACAATGATTGCTTCCCCACAGATTTTGGATTTCACGGCCATGATTTTTAAGGCAATATGGTCACTAATTTGTCACTAAGATGATGGTAAAAGGAAGCGAGCAGCATGGGACCTTCAGAGAAGGCAACGGAGGAAACTCAGGAGTTTTGTGTGCCTCCTACCACCAAAGAACAGGTCACCTGGCTAGAACCCCATCCTCCCCACCTGTACCCCATCCCATAGGAAGCTGGTTAAGTATCTGGAAAAGCATGCTATAATGGAAAAGGCACAGGACTTTAAGTCAGAAGTCCCATTTTACAAGCCTGGCTCCCATCTCATTCAATTGATATCTTTGAGACTGTAAATTTATGTCTCTGAGCCTTTGTTATGTTGTTTTTTTTTTAAACTGATAACTTTTTGGTGTTTTTTGTTTTCTTATTAACAAGGCCAGGTTACAATAATCTCAAGGAAACAGTATGAGAAACACAGTAGTGTATATCAATAAGCTTTGCTAACTACGCATGCTACGCAAACACACTATGAGCAGTATTCAGAGAGTGAGAGTTCAAAGAAAAGGAATTCCATTTCTCTTACTCTCAGGGCCTCAAGAGTCTGGCTAGTTAATAGGGAGCAGTTGGGATGATAATGGCTACCCAGGGCTCAATGATTTGTGAAAGAAAGTGCCTGCTGGTTATGGCAAAATGATCTGACCTCCAGCCAGCTTGCGCACACTCCCCTTTCCTCCGCCTCTCTACTCGGCTGACACCTCCAAGAGTCTTTAAAGAACACAGGAAGATTCTCAAACAAAGACTGCCAGACACAGCTAAGGGTAAGAGGAGACAGGCCAGCTGAGGTGGGCATTTTTTCTTCTGTCTTGTGTCTGCCCTGTCCCCGCCGCCGCTAGCCTGGAGCATTCTGAACGGAACATTACACACTCTTGGCAGCCCATCTCTTTGTTGAGGCAACATAAAAGCGGCCCTGAGAGCTGCCAGCAGAGTGACTGTACATGCTGAGGACATAATCTGTAGATCCTCCTTCCCTTTCGAGACCACAGCTTGATCTTCCAGGGCTGTCACTCAGATGAAGACTTACAGAGGGCCTGTCAGCAGGGGCACACTAGGTGACAACGTGCTGCAGGGAGGGGAATTAAATGAAGATTAGTGGGGCAGAAGATCCTCACAAAGCCCAGTTCTCACAAGGCGTAGGGAGAAAGGACGCATGGTTACGGATTTATTGTTGCTGTTCACTCACTAAATCGTGTCCAACTCTTCACAGAGCCCATGGACTGCAGCACACCAGGCTCCTCTGTCCTCCACTATCTCCCAGAGTTTGCTCAAATTCATGTCCACTGAGTCAGTGATGCTACCTAACCATCTCATCCTCTTTCACCCCCTTCTCCTTTTGCCTTCAATCTTTCCCAGCAACAGGGTCTTTTTCAAGGAGTTGGCT